TACCACGACTTAATCATATACACACACAATATTTAAATATAATTTGTTAACACTAAATCATACACACGTAAGAAAATAACAGAAAGAAAAGTAAGTTTGTCAATAGAATAAACACTTACATCCATGGCCTTTGATGCGTTGAAGTAACACAAATGTAGTATTGATAGATCCACTGCGGTCAAACGACCATACACTAATTCCATGACTGCAGCTGCTCGGTCTTATATAGCACCAGTAAGTAATAATTCTAATCTAAAGAATTTCTGCAGTGAAACTGATTTTTGCGTCAACAAGCTTATTTCACATTCTGTTATATATCTCAACATTCCTTCATGTTGCGTCTTACTCGATGTATCGATGACTCAAATACGATTTGTATATCACAAAGAATGCAGTTTAATATTTAGAAATCACTATAATTGATCATTCCTATGTTAGTCATTGAGTAAATTGGTACTGTAATAATCTACTAATAGCAGTAATATCATGGATACACTAGATGTACAACAACATCTTAAAAGATTCACCCCAGTCTAGAAAATAATGTTTATGCTGCTAATAGACTGCCCATGTATACCCACGTACCAACGTATATAATATGCAATTTGGATACAGATGATAAACCAGGGTCACATTGGGTAGCTTTACCGATATAACTATACGAATGACGTCGGTCAATATTTTGATTCATATGGACGATCACCTGTAAGATATCATCTAGAGTTTTTAAAAAGGAATTGTAAAAGATGGAACTGGAATGTTGATAGGATTCAGAATGAGTGGACTTCAGTTTGTGGCGAATATTGCTTATTGTATTTGCTATATAAGTTTCAGAGATGTTCAATGCATAGTTTTACGAGTATATTTAAAGGGAACACATTGTACAACGATATTTTAGTGATTGAGATGTTTCGCTCCTATTTTATAGATAATAAGTAATAAGATTTTGTATTTTGTAAATTAAAATTGTAACAAAATTAGGTAAAGTGTTTTATTGATGATTCAGATTAGCGTTGTAATTAGGAACAAAGAAGTATAATACAATAGCACTGATAAGCCAACGCACACGCCGAGGAAGAATAGACAATGACAATAGATAAGAACAATGGGACGCTAATGACGGTGGAGGCCCTCACTGGATATCAATTAGATATTGGTTAATTGATCTGCACATCTCCAGCACCGTGCATCCTACGCAATAACGGACCACAGATTCGTGATCAGAGCATGCCAAAACCTTTTTTTAAGGATCGTGAGTCGTTACTTCGTTATGTTGTACCACTTCTGACTCAGTGAGCCAGAACTGCTACAACGTTAGAACTTTTTGTTATGTTTTAAATATAAAACAAGGGCGAATAAAAGGGTTCAATAAAAGATTCGCAGAAAATGGGACTAGTGTATCAAAGAGAAGAGTTCGTGACCGAAAAATGTTTACATTTAGATCAAAATTGGAATCGGTCCAGAAATTTATTATGAAATTTAAACCTTTGGATTCACATTACTGTAGGGGCAAGATAAAAAAGAAAATTTATTTAGACCTAAGTCTTATTATTAATAAGATGTACAAAATATATGACGATCAAGCCACACGCGGATCCTCAGTAACCAAATCTTATTTCAGAAAGGTATTCAATACATCTTTTAACATAGGATTTGGAATACCTCGACAAGATGTTTGCTCTAATTGCCTTCAACTTTTAGAAAAAATTGAAAGATGTCCAAACGGCTATGAAAAGGAAAACATACTTGCACAGTACAGAATATATAAGATGAGAGCGAAATGCTTTTCTCAGCTTCTGAAAGATGAAGATCTGGATATACTTATTCTTTCATTTGACTGTCAAAAAATCTACCCATGCCCAGGATACAAAGACAAATTTAACACGTGAAAATTTCTTCTCTTATGTTGGGACTAAGGACAAGGCACCAAAAAGCTCTTACGAAATAGCATCTTGTGTCTATCACTGCTTAAAAAGTTTAAATATGGAGGGAAAAAAGTGCCAGGATTGTGGCCGATGGCTGTGGTTGCCAAAACAAAAACTTCATTTTGATTGGGATGGTTTCAAAATGGCTATACGAGACGCAAAATGATATATCCAAAGTTGAGATAATATTCTCAGTAACGGGCCATAGCCTTATTCCTCCTGACAAAGTTATTGCAATTACCGAAAAAAAAAATTTCGCGTCTAGAAAACATTTTAAATCCAAATTACTATATTAATTTGATGTCATCTAAACTATTACTACTATACTATATACTATACTAATCTATCATGTTGATCAAGTGTCTGTATTTGATTGGAAAGAAGCATGCAAGAATGTGCTTAAAAATACTCAGAGCCTGCACTTCCAAATAATTAAATGCAAGCTCATAATTATTGAAAAGGTGACGCGAAAAATTCTGGCACGTGGTGAAGTGTCATACAGAAATGACATAAGTTAACTTTTAACCATTACAAAAAGAGGTAAAAAACTATCACACATGTTACCTGACAGAATAAAGCACAGTTAATCAACAGTCAACGTCACCATCAAACAAGAGAAGCTTGATGATGTTAATAAACTATTAAAAAAACACTTCGGTGAGCAGTAGACAGAAATTCCAGACTTAAATTATATTAAAAAGGTTCTAGCTCTACCCGGCCATGATGCTGAAACTGCGGACAGTGAAGAGGATGACAGTATTCCCGAGGAGATATTTGATTTTGTTCAGTTTATTGTTCTTGATTTGATTTCAATATTTTCATGATCGATATGCAAGGCAAAACTGTAATTCTAATCTCATTTATAGCATAATCTAAATAAGAAAAAAAAAAACAACAAATTTAGTATTTATAGTTTTGTCATGTTTTAGAACGTTTTTAAGAATAAAAATATTTTAATGGTAATATTGCATTTTAACTTCCTGAGTCCGTACCCTAATCATTAAGTCATATCAAACTCGCCTAAGTCCTATTGCAATATTTCATACTCTCCCAACTCCGGTGACCTATTTTTCAATATTGACCGAGTCCATAAGTATTATATCATATGCACCCAAGTTCTGATAAAATCATCGAATATGTATGTTTACATTGTGAATTTATTTTGCTTTTTATTTTTTCGGTGTTGCCAGGCTTAATATTCATATCAAAAAATAATAATCTCAGCTTTTTACTAGCTAAAACTTCAAACTAGAAAAGAACACCATTATCCGAAAAATGGTTAAACGTGACTTGGGCTTTTTTTTTGTTGTGAGCCTTTTCCAGGCGGGAAGGGATAAATAAAAATAAATTAATAATGTAAGCCTGATACAAGTTGAATAGGGACATTTTTATGTTCTTAACATTTCTCGAGCCCCGTCCTCGTGAACGAGGCTCACTTAGCTTATAAGGTATTACCAACAGTTTTCGATTGCTCTATGGAATAATCATTCTTCCAAAAAAACACCTAAAAGAAATAAGTTACTAAACAAATACAACTTAAATAAGGGTCCTAACTGAGACGATCACGCCAAAATATTAACCGCCTCTTATTAAACCTTTAGAAAGATCAAAACATATTTTATTTATCCTGGTCACATATATATTTTTTTTATTTAAAAAAGGGAACTTAATTATAAATAATGTAATATACTAAGAGATAAGGGTGGGAGGGGGAGGGGGTAGGAGCGTTACAATATGTATCCAATATCACTAAATAAAATTAAACTTTTTATAAAAATAAATAAAAAACGCGGTTTTTAAAGAACTAAAAACAGCTTTAGAAGTCGGGATAAAACATAGTGTATAAATCATATCTAGATAGTTATCGTTTGTACGTTTAGATCATCAACGAATTTTGGTGCGGTTTCTAAAGATGGGTAAGTGAAAAAAAATGTATCGATGTTTATCCTATCGATATTTTTAACACTATCGATTTAAATTGCGTGATAAATATCGATATATCGTCATGCTTTGTATGGTGTAATAGTATAAGGCCCAAAATGGTATTACTAGACGGTCTGACGACGAAAAACACGATAACAAGAATGAATAGTTTTGTCGCTTAATGTTTCGTTGATTAATACAATATTTAAAAATATCGAAATATATCGAAATTGATACGAATTCGTTACTCCAAAATAAATATCAAATATAGATATATAGCGATTTAAAAATAACGACCATAATTATCCATAATTTCTCATTAAAATATCAATATTTTTTTGATTTTTAAATGTCGATATTTGGATATTTTTGACCCAAGCCTAGTGGTTTCCATCAATATACAATATAATTATACATGTGTATGTAGCTGAACTCCTAAACAGCTGAACCGATATTGATGAAATTTTGTGTCTGATTAAGTTGATTCGAGAATTGATTTAAATTTACATTTGGACCCGGCAGGTGGCACTGCTGTCAAGATCCAGAAACCACCCGAGCGGAGCCGGGCTGGATCGCTAGTAGAAGAATAATCAAAGCCCTGAAATCAGAAGCTGCAGTGTGGCAATTAGTGTTTCTTTAAGATCACCTTTTAGTTATGTACGATATTGTACAAGAAATGATATATTAGAATATATAACAAACTTGATTTAATATAAACTTTTTTTAACAATTTATGTACACACAAGTAATGGAGAGGTCACATCATGATAAAAAGTTTGTAAAAGGGCTCTACTTACCTCGTAATGAAATCTCTTCTAGTAGGCCAGTTACAAAGATATATGATTAATAAATGATTATAAGGCGTGCACTTTGTGAACGGTACAACACACGGTAAAACAGTCAGCCGAGAAATGTTGTGTACCGATTCTCTAAATCTCAATGTACGCAAATGGTAGATAGGTCACTGATATTTAAGAAATAAGAAATGCACAAAGACATGTTAACGCTAGCGTCTATAGTGTAGAATTTTTGAGTTCTGTGTTAATAGCGCATGCCCAGTCACAACTATTTTAATTATACTGTCACGGAGTACAGTAACAACAGTTTACAGTTAACACCAACCCATTATTCCAGTTTTAATTTAACACTAACCTTGATCATTGCCAGGTTGTGCTCAGGATAGTACTGGTCTATTTTGTATTCAGGATGCCGCTGAATGTCCGTGACGGCCAGGATACGACCGCCGAAGTCCCGGAACACGGAACCCATTCGCACAGTTACTTCTTCTTTCGTCACGCTTTAGAAAGAAACATGACATTAAACTAATATACAGCTAATGCTATCCACTACCACATATCATCCAATGAGTGTCGTATTTTAATATATAATGTTTATTTAACCTTACTAACAGTACAGGATCAAAGAGCGGACTTACTCTAGAACATTCTATGCGTGCCACTCGTCAACGCATTCTCTGCCAATCAAACGTAGGGCAGCGATAACTCTACATCATATATTTAATATTATAATGCCAAAATACTGAAACTCTACTCAATTTTAACATGCCCGCGTTGGGCTCCATCACTTTAAGTCAAAGTGACTGTGACTGCACGAGACTTAACGACATGTTAAAATTGAGTAGCGTTTCAGTATTTCACCATAAGACAATATTATATAGGATACATAATATCCCGAATCGAACAAAAACGGAGATAATTAATAATAATGTCCTCCAGACCGAATTTCGGCCGCGGCGGCCAGCCTCAACGGCTAGCCAACGGCGCAGGACAGGATTATAGTGCCAAAGTGTATGTGCAACCACAGGTGCACTCTCTGTTCCCTCACTCTCATAATTTAATGGGACGGTCAACCGACACGACCGGAGAGAGAACGGGCGCAGGACCAACGGCTTTACGTGCTTTCCGAGGCAGGGGGACGAGACACCGCCAACTTCCTGACTCCGGGCAGCTACTGAGAATTTCTTGACAGAAAAATTCAATAATCGATTTTTGGCCTGACGCGGGATTTGAACCCAGAACCTCATGATCAGCAGTCGCACTACTACAACTGCTAGACCAACGAGGCAGACACGGAGATAATTATAATGATGACGGAGTTTAGCAGTTTTGAGTCAATTTAAATAAAGAAAGAAATTTTAAGAAAGTCGTAAGATGCGACAGACGGAAATCAAACAGAAGATGCGCAGCAGCCTCCTGATAACAACTTAAACTAATAACAAAGCTCGGCTGTCAACGCACCAGTCCAGCGTGAAACTAATGTCGGCTCTACACGTTGGCCAACACAGTGGCGAATGTAGTGGCGAATATATTGGCCGAGAGTTGGTGACGGCGTCCACACGTTGGAACGTCGTTCAGTTTACTTCGGTTCGGACCAATGTGCGGACGAATTTATTTTATTTTAAACGACGGCTCCGTGGCGCAGTGGCTTAGCAATGAGTGGCTGTTCCGGGGACCGCGGGTTTGAATCCCGCACGTAACAAGTATTTATATATCCTACAAATAATTGTTTCGGGTCTGGATGTGTGTCCTTGTGCAATTTATGTTTGTAAGCTGCCTCCGCGATACAGTAGAAAATCCAAGTGTGGGGGGGGGGGGGGAACGTTTTTATAAAATAATTAAAAAAGAATAGTGGATATTAATGGGGCTCTAAATAGATATACGATATACGATTAGCTTTATTTATTCTTTACATACATCGTAAACTGGAATAAATACCAATAATAAGAACTTAACTTATTTTAAAGTTAAACGAGCTATAATCGATTAGTCTATGTTTTAAAAATGGGTTTTAATTTTAAAGTTTAGCGAAACATGTACTTGCTTTTCTATCAGACATTTAATGTATATAAAAAACACCTTATATTTTATTTGGTAATTTAATTATTTTTTGAGAAAGACAAAAACAATAGCAATAAATATAATTAACACTGACTTAATAATAGGTATTAATTATAACTTAGAACATAAATGAAAAACTCATGACGAGCAAAGTGGCTCAGGACCATGCTTTGCGGCAGTCTGTGGAGGAGGATGTTCAGTAGTGGACTTGTGAACAGCTGTAATGATGATGATGATTCGAAAACTTGCATGATTAAATTATAAGAAATCGACGTTTTTTTATAGGATAGGGTGACAAACGAGCACACAGTTCACCTGATGGTAAGTGACTACTGTAGCCCACAGACATCTACATCTATCCTCGATTACGAATCAAAATGCAGATGCGTTGTCACCCGTGAGGACTAAGATGAAATGCCTCGTTTCCTTTAAAAAGGGTCTCCGGTTATCTGCACTCACCATACGAAATACAGCAGCATAAAGCTACTATTTCACGCTGGTATTCTGTGAGAGCGTGGTCCTTCCCCGGTTCAGCCGACCCATTCGTGCTACAACTATACTTCTAATATAACTGCATGGTTCTACCACGTATAAACGACGTGCTTCATTTTTTTCATTTTTAAATTGTTCTCGTAATAATCTGATTGTAAATAAATGTTCGTTATTTTTTTTTTGATAAATAGCTTATCGATTAAAACAAATATCTAAAAATAATTAAATCGCGCTACTTAAAGTAGTAGGAGTGTTTAAAGTTGAAATTGGCACTAAAAGGCTGGTAATTGGGGCATCCACTCTACAAAGCTTGAATATAAAATTTAAATCAGATGCGTGCAATCACTCTGGGAGCTTGTAGCAAACTAAACGCGCGGCCAACGTGTGGACGCGGCGACCAAACTCTGCCAACAATCCTTTGATCTTTTGTAAAAAACCGACACCACACGGATCTCGCGCCAACTTGTGGGCCATCGTTCCAATACATACCAATGAAGCCCAAACACCCCGTCTACATGTTGGCCAATGCTATTGGCCACTACATTCGCCACTGTGTTGGCCAACGTGTAGAGGCGCCGTAAGACAAATATCCCCGCTATGAGGCAATCTATAGGGGAGTCTTATACTTAGTAGTAGGTTTTCGATAGATTGTTATGATGATGTCATGATGGTAAAATTTCTCGGCTCTTCAAGTAAGAGTTTACGAATCAAGGCTCTATGTCGGTTACTCTAGTTCTACTGTGGATATCTATAATCTCAAAAACTGTGAACAGACTACACTTACTAATCAAAGCACTGGGCCGCACTAAGCACCCAATATTTCCCCACAATAGCGCCGCCGCACCAATGCTTACTGTGCAACCTGCAAGACAAAAATCTCATTAGCTTACTGCTGAACCTTTTAGTGGCGGTATAAGAATATTCACTGACCCAGATCCTCCCGTGGGCGGCGTAAGAGGCGACAGCGAGAAGGTAAAACATGAGATGCGCAGCAGCGTTCATCTGATGATACCAACTCAGAATAAAAAAAGCTGCGGTTCGCAACTAATTATCCCTATCAGGCATTTTATGGGAGATATCTACGTAAAAGCTTGTTGGCGCGCGCTCGCTGTAAACAAATGCAAACAACTCGAGTTTGACCCCTGCCGGCATCATGAAGTTGTTATTGCAAAGAGCTGATGAGTGATGAAGAAAACTATCGTGAGGAATAGAATAGAATAGAATATTTTTTATTCAATATAGATTACGAGTAATTCTTATTGAAAGTCAATGTTTTACTTTACCATTGATTCGAAAAAACAAAAATAAAGGAAATGTTTGTTAAATATAATATATAATAAATATTGAGGGATACAAATAAAATTTTCGAAGTCATACGAAACCCATTTCAGAAATTAACGCAAGCCTGCGCCCAGCTGTGGGACGTGTATTACACTGTAACTTTACTTAACTTGCAATTTTTTTGTTACACAACATTTTTTTATTGTGAGAGCGTAGCCCTACCCCGATCCAACCGACGTATTCGTGCTACAACCATAATATTGCTGCAGCGTGGCTCTGCCACATAAGTAAACTGCAAAGAAAGTAAATCACAATACTATGTTTTGATTGAAAACCCTCTTAGAAATGAGGGGAGGCCTGTGCCCAGTAGTGGGATGTATATAGGCTGTAACTTTACTTTTTTTAATGTTTTGATTCCCGAAACTAATAAAATTAATGATTTCTTAAATTTACGCGAACATTCCACATTGAATAAAACTAATTTTACGGATTTTATCGCGTTTATTTCTACTTACTTTTACTTTTATTTTTAATTCCCGACGTTTCGGGTGCCTTACAGCAACCATGGTCACGGGGGACTGAGATGTTTGACGTCCCAATGTCATAGTTAGTCCGGCTACCTTCAGTTTTTGAATATTAATTTTTTGATCCTATTTACGCAAAACGAACTTACAGTATCTTGAAGTCTTGCAGTGGTATGCTTGGGTTTGGGTTTAATTTTGTTAATTATAGGATCCCAAGCAGATGGCAGTACCCAACTATCTTCTCTATTGAAATTAGGATGTTTTTTAATTTCAATAGCCTCGCGTATCATCCTTGGTAGAAATCGGTGTTCTTTTGAGAGGACTTGTGGGTTATCAAATCTGATGTAATGGTGGGGACGATCTTGAACATGTTCACAGACTGCAGACTTCCCGGAGCGTCGGTGCTTTACGTCAGCTATATATTATTTCACGCGGGTTTTTATGGATCTTTTTGTTTGACCTATGTAAGAGAGACCACATTCACAATCTAACTTGTAAACTCCTGCATCTTGTAGAGGGATATTACACTTGACGGATGGTAAAAATTGACTAATCTTCTTCGGCGGCGGCGGCAGTAGTATGTTTTAATGGAAGCTCGCTTCAAGATGTAGCCAACCTTGTCTGTGATTCCTCTGACATATGGTAGTACAGCAGGTACACGCTCGACTGTGGCCGGCTTCACTCGGTCACTATGACGTAGGCGCGGGACCCGAAGCTTGTTGTCTTGCAATACTTGCTTGACATGCTGAAGTTCGACGGCCAGATGTTTTCTGTCACAGATCCCTCGTGCTCTGAGAGCAGAAGTAGTGAAATAAACGCGATAAAATCCGTAAATTTAGTTTTATTCAACTAATAAAATTATTAGGTACGGCTACGTTTCTATCGTGCGGCTTGTAAAGTAAGAGTATAAGACCGTGTGACTTCCACCCATCTTAACGATAGACTTAGAATATACTTACGCCAGTATGTTCTAAGTCTATGATCTTAACTATTTCTTAATTACTTTGTTACGTTGACTCGTAAAATATCAAGAATTTTTTTGAGACTATCGTAAAATTCGTTCTCAGTGAGCTTCTACATTGCGAAATGAGCACTACTACTTTACTAAGTTCAAGTCAATCGGGTGCATAGTTTTAGAGATATCGTGAAGAGTCGTCAGTGAGTGATATTTCGCTTATATATATATATATATATATATATATATATATATATATATATATATATATATATATATATATACTTTGAACCGATTTTGATGAAATTTTCAGTGTGCGTGATTAAGTTGATTCGAGAAGAATGATTCAGATTCACAATTGGACCCGGTAGTTGTCGCTGTTGTTGAGATCCAGAAAATGCCCGTGCGAATCCAGGCCGGGTCGCTTGTATAATATAATATAATGACTCACAGCGTATCATCATCATCATCATCATCATTACAGCCCTTCACAAGTCCACTGCTGAACATAGGCCTCCCCCAAGTAATGCCACAAAGCACGGTCCTGAGCCACCTGCATCCATCGACTTCCTGCATGTCTTACCAGGTCGTCACTCCATCTAGTAGGGGGTCGCCCTACACTACGCCTACCGGTACGAGGCTGCCAGTCGAGAACCTTTTTTATCGTTGGTTTTACTGCGGATATCCTCATTTCTGAGTCTATCACGCAGAGAAACTCCGAGCATAGCCCTCTCCATAGCTCGCTGAGCGACCTTAAGCGTCCTCATACGGCCAGCAGTGAAGGACCACGTCTCAGATCCGTAGGTCATCACTGGCAACACGCACTGGTTGTACAATCTAGTTTTTAGAGATTGAGGTATACCTGACGAAAAGATATGCCGTAATTTCCCGAACGCTGCCCAGCCGAGTTGAATCCGTCGATTGACCTCTCGGTCGAAGTTGGACTTACCTAGTCGGACTATTTGTCCCAGGTAAACGTATTCGTCAACAACTTCGAGCATAGTGCTCCCAACAACTACTGGCATAGGTGTGACATAGACATTGAACATGATCTTTGTTTTGTCCATGTTCATCTTTAGACCTATCCGTTGGGAGGCACTATTGAGGTCATTGAGCATAGTGCTTAAGTCCTCCAGCGATTCTGCCATAAGGACTATATCGTCGGCAAATCGAAGGTGAGTGATGTACTCGCCATTGATGTCAATACCGTATCCTTTCCAGTCCAGTAGCTTGAAAACGTCTTCCAATGCAGCGGTGAAGAGTTTCGGGGATATAACGTCACCCTGTCTTACACCTCTCTGCAGTTGGATAGGTTTCGAGCTCTGGTTCTGTACTCGGATAGCCATCGTAGCCCTACTGTACAAACACTTCAGCACTTCGATATACCGACAGTCACCTTGGCACCGCTGAAGGGACTGTAGCACCGCCCAAATTTCGACGGAATCAAAGGCTTTCTCATAGTCCACATACGCCAGGCAAAGTGGCAGATTGTACTCTTCAGTCTTCTGTACAATCTGCCGCAGGGTATGTATGTGGTCTATGGTACTGAAGCCTTTTCGGAAACCGGCTTGTTCGGGAGGCTGGAAGTCGTCAAGTCTGCGTGCGAGACGATTCGTAATGACTCTCGAAAACAGCACGTAGACGCGGCTCAGAAGGGAAATCGGTCTGTAGTTCTTTAAGAGAGCGTTGTCGCCTTTCTTAAAGAACAAGACCACCGCACTTCTGCTCCACGCCTCTGGAGTAGTGCCACCATGGAGGACGGAATTGAAGAGCTTCTGAAGGACTTCAAGTACCGGTGTTCCACCCGCTTTCAGAAGCTCCGCTGTAATTCCATCCTCGCCTGGGGCCCTGCCGTTTTTAAGGTGCTGGAGAGCCATTCTAATCTCGTTTAGACTGACGTCCGGGATATCATCGGAATAGTGTCGGATAAGACTTGCTCTTGGATCGTTACTCACACTTGCGTGTGGCTCCAACGATAATGTGTACAGCTGCCCATAGAACCTCTCAATCTCACTCAAAATCTCAGGTGTCCCGGAAACGATGTTGCCACACTCAGTCTTCAGCCTTGACAGTTGGCTCTTTCTGGCAGACAGATCTCTGGCAAAGACTTTGGAGCCCTGGTTCCGCTCGATCGCTTCTTTAATACGAGAAGTATTAAAGTTGCGTAAGTCTCGCCGTACGCATTTGGAGATCTGTCTGTTCAGTTGCCTGTATGCTGTCAAATCTGTTGACGATTGCAGCCTCATCTCCCGTCTAACAGCCATGAGATTAAGAGTGTGATCGGAGAGTTTTTGTGTTCTTCTGCGGCGGGTCTTGCAGAACTTAGCTCCGACCGCATGGACAGTTTCCACGAGCTTGTCGTTCATATCGTCCACTGCATTGCAATCTTCTAGGCACTGGAAGCGGTTACGTAACTCGAGCTGAAAGGTTTCGGGATTCTGGATTAGAGCACGAGGGGGACGGAGCGTTGACTTCATTAGACGAGACCTCTCCAACTTAACGTTTAGGTTCAGTGTGCCTCTAACCATTCGGTGATCGCTGCCAGTTTTCACCCTTGCGATCACTGAGACATCACTGAACAGTTGGCGTCTGGTCGTCATAATGAAGTCAATCTCATTTTTTGTCGAACCGTCGGGGCTCGACCAGGTCCACTCCCTGTGGGGCCGCTTCTGGAAGAAAGAGTTCATCATAAAGAGTCCCTCTTTCTCCATAAAGTCGGCCAGCTGCTGGCCCCTTCGGTTCCGTTGCCCTACTCCAAATTTCCCTACCTTCAGCTCACCGCTTTCTCTTGTGCCCAGTTTTGCGTTGAAGTCTCCCATCAACACCGTGTAGTAGGTTTTGGAGGAATGTATGGCTCTGGAAATATCCTCATAGATTTCCTCCACCTCCTCATCGGGATGTGCCGAGGTTGGTGCGTAAACCTGAATGACCTTCAGCGAATACCGTTTGGTGATTCTGAGTATCAGGTACGCGACCCTCGTCGACACACTCCCAATCTTTACAACGTTGTTGACGAGAGATTTGTGGACGATAAATCCGACACCTCCTTGGGACAGATGGTCGCCCTCCCGGTGATAGAACAAGTTTCCGGACTCGAGGATTGCCGTGTCCTCCCCCCTCTCTTCGGACCTCGGATAATCCAATAATATGCCAGCGCAACTTGTCTACCTCTTCTTCCAGCTCCAGTATCTTCTCGTCAGTCCTCAGGGTGCGTGCGTTATATGTTGCCAGGTCGAGTCGTCGTAGGTGGCAACCGAACCTCCACCGGAGATTCTTAGCACCCCCCTGCCCCGCCGTTACCATGGTCGCCACCGTAGCCAGGAATAGCGGGGCCGCCGGGGACTGGGGGCCGTCTGTTTGTGTATTTATTCATTGGGGGGTATTTGCCATAGTTGCCACGCTTGGCGAGCGGGTTGGCAACCGCAGTTTTTTATTACGTCACAGTTGTCATCAGGAAGACGCTGCTGCCCATCTCCTGCCTGTCTCCCTCTGTCGCCTCTTACGACACCCACGGGAAGATATGGGGTAGTGGATATTCTTAACCGCCACTACACGGCAAACTCACAGCGTATAATTATATTGATTGGCTCCATAGCCAAGTGATTGTATTTGAACAACAAAATAAAGACGGCTTCTAATAAAATTAAAATGACATGGAGTATAATTAATAGTGAAACTGGTAAGGTCAACTCTCGCAATTCAAACTACCAGTTTAGTTTAAACAACAAATTAGTTCAATCAGATCAGGACGTTGCGATGGTTTTTAAGAAATATTTTACTGATATTCCGATCTTAACCACTAAGTCACTGAATTCTTCACCTGCAGTCGCCGAATTATTACTTAAACAAAATGTAAATGCGTGTATAAAGAATTTTAAATTTTATAAAGTATCATTAAAATCTTTATATATATATATAAATTACGTGTCACGTTCTTTGTCCGCGATGGATTCCTAAACTACTTAACCGATTTTGATCAAACTTGCACACCGTGTGCAGTTTTGTCCAACTTGAGAGATAGGATAGTTTTTTGCCCATGAATGACCCACAATTTTTTTTCCTAATTTAAGGATTTTTTTTAGTAGGACATGACAAAGGGTCGTCGAAAAGGGCAGGACAACGTCTGCCTGGAGGGCTAGTATATTGTAAAATATTTTAAGACTATTGATATTAAGAAAACCGCCGATCTGTGGAAGATTTCCGTTAAAGTTTTTGCGTCTATAATAGATACAATCGCACCTCAACTATCTATTATTTTTAATACTAGTATCAAATCTGGTGTGTTTTATGATTTAATGAAACATAGTAAAGTAATACCTTTATTTAAATCTGGTAGTACATTGGACCTCGAAATTTAATACACATACAAATATAATTTTTTTTAATATAAATAATTTACTATGTAAAAGTGCGAACCAGAGCAGATGAACGAAAGAAGTAGCTTTTATAGTGTATGAGTTACAAACGAGCACACAGCATATCTGATGGTAAGTGGATGCTGCGGCACGTAGACGCCTCCATTCATCTGTTATTAAAAGTTAAAACGCAGATTGTTGTCACCCCTAAAGACTAAGAAGGAACGCCTCGTTTCCAGTAGGAAGGGTCTCCGGTTTTCAACCTTTACCATACGCAACACACCAAACAAAGTATCATCGATCTGCTGTTTATAGACTGTTATTCTGTGAGAGCGCGGTCCTACCCCGGTCCAGACGACCAATTTGTGCTACAACTATAATATAGCTGCAGCGTAGATCTACCACGTATACACCACGTATATACCACGTATAATATACCATGTACAATTGTTGACATTTGATTCATTTATTAAATATTTATTAAACTGTGAAATAAATAGTATCTGGATGCTCGGTCATCGTATTTGCAAATAGTATCTGGATGCTCGGTCATCGTATTTGCTCGGTATTTTATTTGAAATCGTGTGTTTTGGACATTATATTTAGATACAAATTACATACTAATAAAATATGAATAATATTAAAAATACTAAAAAAAGGGCTCGAAATATTGGATTTTCTTAAAAAAGAAGGAATCTTGATAAAAAGAGAAAAAAGTCAGACTGAAGACACGACTCGAACCATTGTACTAAGAATTTGGGTCCGCCCGATATTCTAATTGAGCTATTATAATCGTTAACACATTGCCAAAATTTACTTTCTTGTTCTAACGATATTGTAGGAGTTTTTCGTTGCCTGTAAACACGGACAAAACGACATTTTCTAAAAATGTATTAGATAGATTTTAAATTGTATTGCTTATAGTTTTCTCATTCTATTTAAAATATACTCACTATTTCAAATTTTCCCTGTTTCTCTGATAGAGAGCTTAAATTCAGGACTTGTCAGGAATATTTTTGTTATCTAGTAAACCTAACGGTGTGCTGATTGTTACCTTTACTCCTATATAAAAAGTATATTATACAGTATAACCTTATTGACACAGTGTATGGATAGTCCTCCAGACAGACCAGCCCGTTCTCTGTAGTGAGTCTCTTTCTTCTAATATGGGTTAAATCTTCTTCCATTTTTGGCGGAAATTCACATTCTAACTCTGCTTTTCCCGTTACCGCTGAAAAGACAACGCACTTTTTATTTTACTAAACTTTAATTGACATCTTTTCTTCTTCTTTTCTACATTAAGGGTTCTCTCCTGTATCGTGGGGGCACTTTACATACATACATTTCACAATGACAAACATCCAGACCTGGAACAATTATTTGACCCGGAACAATTACTTGTTCCGTGCGGGATTCGAACTCGCGCTCTTAGTGCTGCAACTCATTGCTAAGCCACTGCGACACGGAGCCGTCATAGATTGGCAGTGCAGTGGACAAGGGTTTGAATATTTCGAATCATCACAGCCTTGAAATAAAATTAAGTTTACGGATTTTGTTATAATTTAACTTGTTTCTTCTTAATTTAATCCCCGATGATTCGGATACTAGAGCACCCATGTTCACGGCGGGATTGAGGTGTTTGAAGTCTTAATGTCATATGAAGCACGGGAAATGTTCGGAAGAATTGTTCGGATCAATTCCAGTTGCCAAATCCCACCAACGTACATCGCGACAAAAATTACGGTACCATCCATACCATATGGATGCTTTGCGTTACTTAGTAACATCATAAAATCTGTTCTTTGCTTTCCACTACTGTGGGAGTTACTAAGTTTTCTTCTTCACATGACTTCTTTAATGGAGTCGTCTACCACTGGCGATTTTTCCGAACCGATACGTATTAAGGACCTTTGGGGGGAAGATGGCTGGATGCTACTGTCTACTTGGGATCATATAATTAACAATAAAATATCAGAAAAGTCGGGAATAAAGATAAATAAAAACAAGTTAAACGCGACAAAATTCGTAAAATTAGATGTATTTAAATGTGTAGAATTTATTAAATATGAAAAATAATTACTTAAAACCTATTAAATAGCGCAGCCGAACATTGTCCTCTTTCGATTGCCTCGCAGGGGGAATATTTGCCATAGTTGCCACGCTTGACAGTTTGAATAGAAACCGCAGTTTCTATTGCTTCGAGCTGCTCTCAGGAAGATGCTGCTGCCCATCTCATGTTTCGTTTCGCCGTATCTCCTTTCAGGACACACACAGGATTATACGGAGGTCACTCAATATGTTTTGAGATGCTCGAAATTTAAAAATGGAACGCACCCGTCTTATATGTAAAAGGCAAATTTATTTAAAAATCGGATGATATTTGTACTCCAAATTAACCCAAAATTGCACGACTCAATCTGTGAATGTTATGTACACTTGTTATAGATATACATATCAGAGAATATAGAATGGTGTATGTTTTTGTGAATCTCATATATGTGTATTATAAGTGTACTTGTTAAATAAAATAAAAATAAAATAACTATAAGCCAATGTGAACATTTGCACGCTATGATATATCATGATTTTAAATTTGATTTAACCGAACAATTAAGCTTACAACGGTTACAATCAGCATAAGAGGACTCCATCACGCGCAACAATTTTTCAAAATTTAGACGAATAGAACTTTGTACAGAGTATGATGGAGAATACTTTGAAAATATCTAAAATAAATATTAATAGTATCTAGAATACTTTTTGTATATCTCAAAACTTATTGAGTGTTCTATGTACGTTAGTGGATTCATATAAGCCGCCGTTAAATAACAAATTCCTCTTTTTTCAAATTAAGAAAATGTTATCGCCACACTAGGACTTTCTGCTGTATTCGTGGATGCAGCTTACAAACATACGAGTACGCAAATACAACATCCAGACCCGGAACAACTACTTGTGCCGTGCCAGATTTGAACCAGCAGGCCTGAGCGCTGCAATTTATTGCTGAAACACTGCACCACGAAGCCTTTAACAAAATGTAAATATAATTGTAATAAATAGTATTTGCTTACCAGTTTCAACACAAAGTCTAAAACTAACATAAAATAATATAACTAAGAATAAAGTTGATCTATTTCCATGGTCCATTGTTCAAATATCTTCCCATTATATGCATAGATTACAAATTGATTAATGAAGCCTTGTGGAAGCTGAGAGCCGGTTAGTTATTACTGCATAAGGTAAGAAACAAGCGCAGTTCCGCTAGGCTTGCGCAATAAAGTATGTAGCGAACAATAGTGGGTTATTATAAACATGTATATGTTTGAGCAGATTTCCAAAACACGGAGTTTTCTATTGTACACAATGTATTGGACAGAGCTATGTTAGCGCAATAGCTATGTGTTTGTGTGTGGATGCAACTCTGGTTCGATCTCAGCGACCTCATCAATAGAATTGTCAATTGCAGGATGAGCCGTGCTGCAGCTATATTATGGTTACAGCACGAATGGATCGGTTAGACCGCGGTAAAACAGCTCGCGGACGTTCTTACAGAATACCAGCGTAAAATACAGCGCAAAGTACGGTGAGACAACCAGACCTTGTTTACTGGAAACGAGGCATTCAATCTCAGTCCTCTGTGGTGTTGTTAATCGAGGATAGATGTGGAGATGTCCATGGATCAAGAATTCACCATCAGGTGGACTGTATGGTCATCTGTCACCCTTATCCTATAAAAAAACCTCTCGAATTATTTTGATCCAGAGATCATAAAGCAAGTTTCACCTTCTATAAAAGGTCACCACACTACGGGTTGACTGGCAGAGAATTCCGAGAGGCATTAAGCCCACTCATTGTTACATTAGTTGTAAGTTGTTAAAATTAAGAATAAAAAATAAATAAAAAATAAGTGCCTTCTCATATTGATTACCCAGTTGCTAAGACTAGTTAACTTCAATTTCGGTCTGCAACAACGTGTTAAAATAATTTTTAGTTCAGACGTACATAGATTTAACATTTCCTGATTCAATCATATTGTCAAAATGTACCGTGATTACGATGAGATTGAGTATAATATAGTAACGTTTATCTAGAGTCTAGACATAAAACTCGACAATAACCTTTTTTAGATTAGAAATAAATTTACTTCCTACTCTCAATATTTAATGTTTGATATCATATTTATTTTTGATAAGGCTAACTTACTACTTCTAATAAGTCTCCCTGCATTAATATTATAATTACGCTGTGTACACTGTTTTGAGTTATAGCTTATATCAACACTACTACACTTTTAATTTTAGAACTCTACTTGCAACTGTCTGTTTCTGTGCCTTATTCAATAAACGTTAAATAAAAAATATAGAAAATTCCCGTGTAGTGGAGGTTATTGTGTAGTAGCGGTGTAAGAGGGGGGAACAAATCAGGATATAGATAGCAATGTTTTCCTAATAACGATTAAACATAATAAACCAGCGGTTGCCTAACCGCTTGCTAAGCGTGGCTACTATGGTAAATATTCTAAGAGACAATTACAAGTGGTAGAGTCATGCTGTAGTTATGTTAGTAGTATAGTTGTAGTACGAATAGATCGGCTCGACCGGGGAAGGACCACGCTCTCACAGAATACAAGCGTAAAATAGCAACTTAATACTGCTTTGTTTCGTATGGTATGTGTAGAGCATCAGAGACCCTTTTTTACTGAAAACGAGGCATTCCATCTCAGTCCTCTCGTTTGTCACTCTATACTATAAAAAAATCTACGGCTGAACCCTAAAAAAAAAGATTTTGGCTCCAATGCAACCTTTCTTATTATCTATTGTTGCTTGAACACCGTCGTCGTTAACGCTCTTATCTTATCACTCGTTGTACACCCTGCTTAATCAGTGCTCTTGTTCCTAACTACCACGTTAATCTGAATCACCTATAAAACTTTTTATTTCTAAAATGTTATTGCTTATTATGTATAAAATAGGAGCGAAACATTTCATCCACTAACATAACGTTGTACAAAGTGTTCTCTGTAAATATGCTCATAAAATTATGCATTGAACATCCGTGATTTTTTTTTGATGCTGCATCAGAAATAAAAAAGAGGAAGCTGTATTGTCAACCGTAGCACGAGCCACTAGAGATGGTGTATAGTTACATTTCTACTAATTCTGACGGAAATTGAAATGTACGATATGAAGAAGCTATCCAAGATTTCAATTACTGATCATTGGAAACATGCTTCCACGAGGATTAAATATTACGTAAAGACTAATAAGGATAGCACCTACGACAACACAAACGCCCTCGTATACAATATTACAAAGACAATAGCAGAAAGTGAAAACGTTAAAAATACTTTTTTTAACAATGACAGTCAGCTAAAGTCGCAACACGAATGAATGCGAGATAATTTTGTTAACTAATAAACTTACTATCAGTTCCACTGCGTAAATGCTTTAGATTAAATATAACTTACTGGTGATATCTAAAAACGAGCAGCTGCAGTCATGGAGTCAGTGTATCGTCGTTTGATCAAAACGTTCGGTCAATATGAGAGTTGAAATCGAAACAGACCAAGAAATACCTGATCAGACAACAGCTTATTGTTTGATATTAAACGATTGTACATATATTCGAATACAAACCACTGAGTAATATCGTTAAGGAAACATCATGAATATACAATAATCGTAGATCTTCAAGGATTCAAAAATAGCAAAAATGAATTTATAGTAAAAGAATTTGCTATAGACACTCTAGAGTACACTAAAATATTCCTAATTAAACCTTCTTACCCTTTCACTTCACTATCTCTTGAAAGGGATAAACAAATTGACTGGATTGAAAATCACAGAGTGCATCGATGGAATAAGGGCTTTGTTGCTTATGGAGTTTCACAGAATTATCAAGACATATTTAAAAAATAAAAAGATATTTTAAAAGGATGTGAAATTATTAAATGGGTACGAGATATTTATAATGAAAATAATATTATCATAGATATAAGTTGCTTAGGAGTTCCCAATTTAAATATTCTTTGTGAACTTTATTGTAAAGATACTTTACTGTATAACTGTTTTACTCATAAGAAAATCTGTGCGTTAAAAATGTTTTATGTATTAAGAAATGGCGTTTTGAAAACAAAAGTAAGACAAGATCGGAAGGAAGAGATGAGTGTGGCATACGTGTACAGAAC